CATTTGTAAATGTTGTAAATAGTTGATTAATTGTTGTTTCTAAGAGACTCTCTAAGGGGAGGAGGTTTCTAAGCTTCCTTCTTCTGAGTTCATCTAAAGGGCAGGCAGGTGGGTCAAGCAGCAATATGGAGTCTGTCTTGCTAACAAGGGTCCTTCAATTATTGTCCCACTGGTAGCTACAGAGAATTTAGAAAGCAGTAAGAAAGAAATGATATTTTAAGGTAATTATTTTCAATAAGATAAACAGATAACTTCTCTTCAGAAAGGATGGAGGCCAGAATGCAATGGAATAGCATTCACACAGATTTAAGGTTGAAAAAAAAAGAGAAAAGAAAAAATAAAGACTAAAAAAAAATCATAAACCCTGTTAATCAAAAATTCTATATCTAGAAAAATACTACGTAGAAAATAAAGGAGAAATTAAGTAACTCCTAGATGATAAAAACCAGAATTTGTTGCTAGACCTTCCAGATAAGAAATATCAATGGGATGATGTGAAATAAGAAGAAAATGTCCAAAGCGGGGGGAAAATGGGAGAGGGAGGAGAAAAGAAAGAAGAGAATGGAATTAATATGAGAAAAAGAAAAAATGGAAACAAAGTCTTTGTAAATAGGGAGGGGTGGAGGGGTGGAAGGGAGGGCAGGGGAATGGGGAAAAAAATAAGAACCAAGATGGATTTTTGTAAGGGTGCAAATTTCCAATGATGAATGTCATTATATTGTATACCTTAAATGTACCAATAAAGTTAATTTAAAAAATAGAAATATCAATGGGAATCTTCCATGTTGAAATGAAAGAATAGACACTAACTCAAATACACATGAAGAAATAAAAACTACCAGTAAAGGTAACTATATGCCAAATAATGGGCAGCTTAAACAAGATAGATATTCTCACATTTCTGGAGCTGAGAAGTCTAAGATTAAGGTGCCAACAAGGTTGTTTCTGGTGCTTCTCTTGGGTTTGTTGATGACTGCACCTCACTGAGTCCTCTTATCACTCCTATTCTGTGCCAGCATGATGAGCCATGCCTCTCTGCTCCTTCTCAGAAGAGCACTAGTTCTTTCAGTTTACAGCCCTATCCTTATATTCTCATTTAACCTTAATTACTTCCTTAAAGGTCCTGTCTCTAAACACAGTTGCATAGGGGTTGGGGGTTCAATACATAAATATGCAAAATGTGAATAATTGCAGATGAATCTAGGTGATATCTAGACAACCTAGATAAAATAGAAAAAGTTCTGGAAGGACACAAACTATCACAAACCAAGTGAAGAACAAATATAAATCTGTAAATACTCACTATAAGTAATAAGTCTGAATTAATAATAAAAACATCTGTCCCTAAATAAAAGTATAAAATGAGATGCCTTCACTAGTAAATGATAATGGACATTTAAAGAATTATTAACATCAATCCTTCTTAAACTCCTCCAAACATCTAGAAGAGCAGGAAATTCTTTTCAACTCAGTCTATGAGAACAATGTTATTTTGCTACTAAAACCAGAAAGAGACCTAGCAAGAAAAAAATCTATGGACAGATATCTCAAATATCTGATGTAGACACAAAATTTCCCTCAATATACCGTACTAGCAAACTAAATCCAGAGTCCTGTGAAAAGTATTATACATGATGACTAACTACAAGTTATCCTAGTCATTTGAAGTTGGCTAAGCCTATGAAAGCCATAACAATAAAATAAAAGGAGAGAGCACATAATCATATCAATAGACACAGAAAATATATTTGAAAAATCATAAGCTATTTCACAATAAATAGAAAAATGAACTACAGACCTTACTAAAAATAATAAAGAGCATCAACAAAAAACATGCAACTAGCATCACATATAGTGGTAAAAGACTGAAAGCTTCTACCCTAAAAATGTCTGCTCTATACACTTCTATTCATTTTTAGATTTTCTACTCGGGACAATTAGACAAGCAAATAAAGTAAGAGAAATCCAGGTTTTAAAACAAAAAGTAAAAATAATTCTATTTGCAGATGATATCATCTTATATATTAAAAATCCTAAAGAATCCACAAAAGAGCTATTAGACCAATAATAAATTCAGTGAATTTTCAGTTTATAGGCTCCAGATACAAAAATGAGTTATACTTCTGAATATTTGTAAGGAAGAATTTAAAAATGAAATGAAGAAAAATTCCATTTGCAATTACATAAAAAGAATAAAATACTTAGGAACAAATTTACCATAATTAGTTCAGGGATTCTGCACTGAAATTTATAAAACATTGCTGAAAGAAAATAAACATGAGCTAAAGAAATAGAAAGCCATCCCATGTTATATTAGTTAGCTTTCCCATTGCTGGGATAAAATACTCAACGTCCACAACTCAAAGGAGGAAAGATTTAATTTAGCTCATGGTTTCAGGGGACAAGCACATGATTGGCAGGCTCCATGGCAAAAACATAATGGCAGAAGGACATAGTGTACCAAAACTGCTTAGTTCATGGCATCAGGGAAGTAGAGCAGGAGAATAGCACTAAAGAGAAAGCCATGAGGGACTAAATATAGTATTCAAGGTCATGTTGCCATGACTCACCCAGACACACCAAGAAATGTGCTCCAATAATCTCTCAAGCAGCTCCAAAGCCAATCATGTTGACACAGTTATGCATACACATCACACATCTATGGACTGGAAGACTTAATGCCATTAACATGGCAATACTTCTTATTCATCAATATATTCAATGTAATCTCTATTTAAAGTCTGGCCTTTTTTAATTGTAAAAACTGAGTCATTCTAATCCAAAAATTCCCACTGAAATGCAAATGAACCAGAATGTCCAAAATAATTTGAAAACCAAAACCACATGGGAGGATTCACTCTGTGTGTGTGTGTATGTGTGTGTGTGTGCGTGTGTGTGTGTGTGTTTGTGGTAATGATGATGGAACCCAAAGCTTTAGCATACTAGATGAGCACTCTACCACTAAGCTGCATCTCCAGCCTATTACTTCCAGATTTTAAAGCTTAGTATGTAGTTACAAGAATCAAAAATGTATGGTATTCATATGAAAATAAACATGAAGATCAATGGAACACAGTTGAGAAATTAGACCACACATCTGTGGAAAACTAATTTTTGACTAACTTGGCAAATAATTGTATGGAAGGAAAAATAGACTTTTAAACAATGTTAATCAAATACACAAAAACTATAACTCTTAGAACAAAATATAGTCATAAATTATCATGACTGTGGCTTTTTAGATGTCACTTAAAGTACAAGCAATGAAAGAAAATGGGTAAATTAGACTTCTTAATAATTAGTAACTTCTATGCATCAAAAGACATAATCCAAAAAGTGAACCATCACAAAACATGAGTAAAAATATCTACTGACTATCAACTGAAGAATGGATATATAAAAAATAGTATAACCAAAAAATGGAATATGACTCTACCATAAAAAAGGAATAGACACATTGCAATATGGATGAAACTTGAAAACATTATTCTAAGCAAAAGAACCAAAACAAAAGAGAATATATATTTTGTGATTGCCTCTGAATGAAAATCCAAAATAGCCAGATCCACAGGGACAGAAAATAGATTAGTGGTTGATAAGTGCTAGAGGAAGTAAGGAGTTGTGGAGCTTGCTAATGGATAAAAGTTTTTTGTTTCTGTTTTGGAGTGATAAAAATGTTCTAACAGTGATACTGACAATTGGTTTACAACCTCCATATGAGCAAGTATTAAACTGTACACATTAAAATAGAGAATCTGTGGTATGTAAATTATATTTCAATCAAAAACATCTAGCTCTCCCCTGAATAAGTAAGTAGTCCCTACCTTCTTAGCACCAGGGACTGGTTTTGTGGCAGACAATTTTTCCACAGGGACTGGGGCAGAGGTTGGGGGTGGTTTGGGGATGATTCAAAGGAGCACAGAACCTAGACTCCTCACATGCTCAGTTTAGAGTCAGGTTCTTGTTCCTATGAAAATCCAGCATCATCACTGATCTGACAGAGGCAGAACTTGGGCATTAACATAAGGGATGGGGAGCAGCTGTCAATACAGATAAGGCTTTGCTAACTTGCCCTTTGTTCACTTCCTGCTGTGCAGCCTGATTCCTAATGGGTAAGGTGGTGGCCTGGGGATTGAGGACCCTGTCCTAAAATATTCAGCATGTACACAGTGCATGACACAGCCATTTACTTGCAGATATTTTCCAAAGAGAAATGAAAGCTCATGTTCACATAAAGACTTGTACACAAATGTTCATAGCAGCTTTATTTGTATCAGCCAAAAAATAAGTTAATGTATGTCCTTACATTGAGTACTAATCTCCTAGGAAAAGGAATGAACGCTAGGTACAAAGGACAAGTTAGTCTATGGCCATACCATCCAGTATACACTCAACTTCAGTTGATGCATGGAATGACATAGACTTATTTCAAAATAATTCTATCAGTGAAAGAAGTTACACTAAAAATACCATATCCTGTATAATTCCATTTGTATAAAATTTTGGAAAATGCAGCTTAGTCTCTAGGAACATAGATATTGTGGCTGAGGATAAAGCAAAGTTGAGAGGTGTGAGAGGGAGCAATTATAATAGGTCAAGAAGAAAATTTGGGGGAGATAGATATGGTCATTATCTTGATTTTGGTGGTTGTATGGATTCATACATCTGTCAAAACTCATCAGATTGTACATTTTTAATATGTATAATTTATTGTTTTTAAATTATACTAATGAAGCCATTGAAATTAATTCAAAGATAAATGTTCTAATTAAAAGATAGGCACAACTTTTAAACTGATATTTCCTCAAAGACAGACAGATGGCAAACCAGTACCTGAGAAGATGCTCAACATCATGAGTCATTAAAGACACAAAGTAAAGTCACAATGATATATAGCACTATGCATATATAAAATTATCCCCCCCACAAAGAAAAATGGCAAAGAGAAATACTGATAAATATACAGAGAAGCTGCAGTTTTCACACATTGTTGATGTGGATGCAAAATGTGCAGCCTCTTCAGAAAAAATTGGTTAATTTAATGTAAATTTGTGCATATAGTGATGATACAACTCTAATTTCTCATTCCTAGATACATACTTCAAAACAATGGAAATAAAATTTCACATAAAGATTTGTAGGTTGTTTATAGGAAACTGAAACTTAGAAAAAGCTGTCATGATTGTGAACTGGAGAATGGATAAACACACTGTAGTATATCCATAGAATAGATTCCTCAAAATTAAAAAGGAACAATTACTAGCAAATACAATAATTTAGACGCATCTCAAAAGCATTGCAGTGATTAAATAGCGGCCAACTTGGATGGGAATGCCCTGCTGAATTGAATCAGCGTGGTTCTGGGCATGCAAGACTCACCTGAGTATTGTTGCCAATGACATAAAAGGAGAATAAGTGATTGTATGCTGTTGATTTTCCTGGAGATGCCTCCATTTCCTGGCTTTCCTGATACTCCTTTCTCCTCAGAGGAGGAGCTTCTGTCTTCACTGTCACAGGAGATGGCTACTGTTCTCTTCCGGGGAGATCTGGTCTTGGCCTAGAGCATAGCAGCCCAATTTGTAATAGGCAAAACTTGGAAAAAAGTAATGGCAGAAAACTTCACAAGCAGGGGGAAAGAACTTGACAAACAGATAAGTGAGGCATATAGGACTCCAACTAGCCATGATCAAAAAAAAAAAAAAAAACCTCTACACCTAGGCATAGAAGAGTGAAGACTCCAGAAACCCAACAGAGCAAAATTCTATAAGCAGTCAGAGAAAAGAAACAAATCATATACAAAGAAAAGCCCATCAAATTCACAGCAGAGTTCTCAACACAAACCCTCAGATCAAGGAGAGCCTGGAGTGACATATTTCAAGCCCTAAAGGAAAACAACCTCCAACCCAGATTGATGTACCCTGTAAAACTATCTTTCAAAATTGATGGAGAAATAAGATACTTTCATGACAAAGAGCTCATCAGGAACTTCATGAATATCAAACCACCACTCCAACAAAATTTATACAATATCCTAGGAAAAGACAATGAGGATCACAACCCCAGGAATCCCAGCAAAATGAATCCATTAGGCATGAAAAGAAATTAAATGCAATGGGGGAGAATACAACAAAAAGAAAAAGCCATGACAAGGATAAATTAATACATATCAGTTATAACCATCAATGTTAATGGTCTCAATTCACCAATCAAAAGAAACAGACTGGCAGAAGCGGTCAAGAAGCAAGATCCAACAATATGCTGCATACTAGAAACACACTTAATTCAAAAAGAAACCCATAGACTGAAAGTTAAAGGGTGGAAAACAAAACTCTATATGACAAGAACCTGAAAAAAATCAGGAGTAGCTATCCTCTTTGCAGATCAAATGGATTTCTAACCAGCATTTATTAAGAGAGACAAAGAAAGACACTATATCCTTGTAAAGGGAACAATACAAGAGGAAGAGAATGACAATCATAAACATATATGAACCAAATACTAGTGTGTCCAACTATATAAAACAAATAATAACAGACATGAAAAATCAAATAAGCACTAATACCATAGTAGTGAGGGATCTCAATACCCCACTATCACAAATAGATAGATCCACTGGATAGAAAATAAACATTGAAATACTAGAATTTATCAAACTCTTGAACAAATGAACTTAACAAATGTTTACCAAGTCTTCTAACCCACAAAATCAAAATATACATTCTTTTCAGTTACACATGGGTCATTCTCCAAAATAGACCACATACTTGCTCATAGAACATGTTTAAGTAAGTGCAAAAGACTTGAAATTATCCCCTGTATATTGTCAGACCATAATGCAATGAAATTGGAGATTAATAGCAAAAGAAACCAGAAGAATTTCATAAACACATGGAAATTGAACAACACACTTCTGAACAATGAATGGGACACAGAGGAAATTAAAGAAGAAATCAGACAGTTTCTACAATTAAATGACAATGTCAATACAACATATTGGAATCTATGGGACAAAATGAAAGCAGCCTTACGAAGGAAATTCATACTAGTAAATACTCATATTAGGAAAACAGAGTGAGCTCAAATAAACAACCTGATGCTGGACCTTAAGCTTCTCAAAAAAAGCAGAGGACAAACCCAAAGCTCATACAAGGGAGGAAAATATAAAGATCAGAGCAAAAATCAATGCAATGGAGACTAAGAGAACAATTTTAAAAATCCATGAAGCAAAGAGTTGGTTCTCTGAAAGAAGAAACAAAATTGGGCTGGGGATTTAGCTCAGTGGCACCACACCTGTATCACAAGTGCAAGGTGTTGAGTTTGATTCCCAGTACCAAAATCAAAAAACAAACAAACAAAAAACCCAAAAAGAATAAACAAAATTGATAACCTTATCAAAAACAGTAAAGAAAAGACCCACATCCATGCACTTAGGAATGAAAAGGGTGAAATTACAATGAACGCAGCAGAAATCCAGAGGCTCATCAATTCCTACTTAGAGAACCTATATGTCAATAAGACAGAAAACACAGAACAAATGGACAGATTTCTAGTTACATATGAATTACCAAAGTTTGACAAAGAAGACCTAAAAATTCTAAACAACCCAATATCACTCAATGAAATTGAAAACATAATTAAAAACTTACCAACAAAGAAAAGCACAGGCCCTGATGGCTTCACTGCTGAATTCTACAAGACATTTAGAGAACTAATACCACTACTATTTAAACTCTTCAATGAAATTCAAAGGGAAGCAATACTCCCAAATTCATTCCTGGAAGCAAGCATCACCTTGATCCCCAAAGCAGAGACAGACACAACCAAAAAAGAGAACTGTAGGCCAATCTCAATAAAGAACTTAGATGCAAAAATCTTCAATAAGATACTGGCAAACAGAATGCAGAAGATCATCAAGATCATACACCCTGATCAAGTGGGATTCATCCCAGAGATGCAGGGATGGTTCAACATACACAAATCAATAACTGTGGTACACTATATCAATAGAGCCAAGGACAAAAACCATATGATCATGTCAATAGATGAAGAAAAAGCATTTGACAAAATCCAACACCCATTAATGATAAAAACCCTACAAATATTAGAATAGACAATCTCTAACTCAACCTGATAAAACCCATTTATGAAAACCAACAGCCAATATCATACTAAATGGTCAAAATCAAAATCCTTCACACAAAAATCAGGAACAAGACAAGATGTCTACTATCCCCACTCCTGTTCAGTATGATTTTGGAAACATTAGCCACAGCAATTAGATAAGAGAAAGAAATAAAAGGAATAAAGATAGGAAATGAAGAAGTCAAATTGTCATTATTTGCAGATGACATGATACTCTATATAAAAGACCCCAAGAACTCCAGCAAAAGTCTTCTAGACTTCAGAACCAAATTCAGTAGAGTAGCTGGATACAAGGTCAACACACAAAAATCAATAGCATTCCTCTACGCCAACAACAGACTCACTGAAAGAAGTACTGGAAAAACAACTCCCTTCACAATAGCATCCCAAAAAATGAAATACCTAAAAATTAACCTAATGAAAGAAATAAAAGACCTCTACTCTGAAAACTATAGCACTCTGAAAAAAGAAGTCAAAGAAGATATCAGAAAATGGAAAGACATCCTTGCTCCTGGGTAGGAATAACCAATATAGTGAAAATGGCCATACTTTCAAAATTGCTATGAAAATTTAATGCAATCTCAATTGAAATTCCATCATTATACTTCACAGGCCTTGAGGAAACAATCTCAAACTTCATTTGAAACAAGAACAGACCTAGAATAGCAAAAGCAATTCTAGGCAATAATGACAAGATAGGGAGTATCACAATCCCAAACTTGAAACTATACTACAAAGCTACTGTGATAAAAAAAAACAGCATGGTACTGGCAAAGAAACAGACCTGAGGATGGGTGGAATAGATTAGAAAATGCAGAAACAACTCCAGACATACTCAGCCACCTTGTCTTCGACAAAGAAGCCACACACCCTCACTGGAGGAAAGATAGCCTTTTTAGTAAATGGTGCTTGAAAAACTGGATTTCAACTTACCAAAGATTAAAACTAGACCTATATCTCTCACCATGGACTAAACTAAGATTGAAATGAATTAAAGATCTAAATATTAAAACAGAAACACTAAACCAGCTGGAAGAGAGGTCAGGTAGAACTCTTGAAGACATTGACCCAGGAAAAGATTTCATGAACAAAACCTCAGTCTCATGTGAACTAGCACAAACAATCAACAAGTGGGATCTCTTCCTATTAAAATGCTTCTGCACAGCAAGAGAAGCCACCGGCAGTGTGAAGAGACAACCCACAATGTGGGAAAACATCTTCACCTGCTCTTCCTCAGACAAAGGTCTAATATCTAAAATATACAAAGAACTTAAAAAATCAGACCTCCCAAATTTAAAGGCCCAATCCAAAAATGGGCATCTGAAATGAACAGACATTTCTCAGACAAAGAAGTAGAAATAGCAAATAAACATATGAAAAAATGTTCAACATCACTGGTCATTTGAGAGATGCAAATGAAAACAACGCTGAGATTCCACCTCACCCCAGAAAGAGTGGCTGCTATCAAGAAATCAATAACAAATGCTGGCAGGGCTGTGGGGAGAAAGGAACCTTTCTTCACTGTTGGTGGGAGTGTAGACTGGTGCAACCACTGTGGAAATCAGTATGGTGATACCTCAAAAAACTAGGATTGGAGGTCTTATTTGACCCAGCTATTCCCTTGTTGAGTATCTTCCCGAAAGGATCATACCACAGCAACATATGTGCGCCCGTGTTCATAGGGGCACATTCTGTAATAGCTAAAACTTGGAAATAGCCCAATTGCCCATCAACTGGAGGCTGGATAAAGAAAATGTGGATTTTTTTATATATAAAGTGGAGTATTACTGAGCCATAAATCATGAGAAACTAGAGACATTTATAGCTAAAGTGATGCTCATTGAGGCGATACTCTTAAGTGAAATAAATAGGACACGTGTAAATACCAAATAGTTTCTCTAGTGTGAGAAACTGAAAGTATAAACGAAGATCAAAATATATAATATATAATGTGAAACAGGAAGAAAAGGTCCAAAGGGGAAGGGGAAGTGGGAGGGCTAGGGGAAAGGAAAGAAGCGAATGGAATTAATATGACAAAATGAAAAAATGGATGCAGTCTTTGTAAACGGGGATGGGTGGAGTGGTTGAAGGTAGGGCAGGGAAATGGGAAAAAAATAAGAACCAAGACATATTATTCAAGGTACAAATTTCCAATGATGAATGTCACCATGTTGTATACCTCAAATGTACCAATAAAATTAATTTTTTAAAATACATATATAAACTTATATAAACAATAACCTCAATTAATGTAAACATTGTATGTCATAGTATGAGCTAAGATTGATCAAGAATGAAACACGGGATAAGAGATTTGGAGGAGTGAGGGAAGGGGAGGGAAGGGAAAGGGGATTGAAAAAAAAGGAAACAAGCTGTTGTGTGTACATGTAACCACTTGCCCAAGATGATTTTAAACTCCATGAACTGGAAACATCCTAATAAAATAAAAAAGTTTTAAATGAAACTTATACAAACATATAATTCCTCCCAATGTTAAGTTATAGTGAAGATTGTGAGCAAGTCTGTGTTTAGTAAGAATTCCTCTATGATTTTGCAATTAAGAAAGATGTTCTATTGGGGAATAAAATAGAAATATCTTATGGTATTAAGAAATTATTTTTTAAAACATAACATATAAATAATATTTAGAGAATTTCTGAAAAGAGTAAAGAAGAGAAATAGTCCAGTTCATTTCAAATCCTCCACAATGAAAAGAGCATGACATTTGTACATGAAGAGACCAACATACTTATAGGAAAAAATAGGGAAGGTTCAGTGATAAAACCAAAAATATATATTTCAAGAGTGGCATCTCAAGTCAGAAAAGGATAGGGCTTTCAATAAAAATTGTTGGAATTCTTGGATCCACATTCCATACTTCAAACCAGGATAAATTCCAAATGGACCAAAATTTAAATATAGACATGAAACCATAAAAATACTAAAAGAAAATATGGAAGGATTCTATTGTAGGCTTGGACAAGAAAAGGACTATCTAAATATATCTCAAAATTCAAAATTTTTAAAATTTATAAATATAAGTACATCAAATTAAAAGAAAGCCAGCATAAAAATATACCATTAAACAAAGAAAATTATGCATGCTATACTGAATTTAAATTCTTGCAACAAATATTGAGAAAAAGAGCTTGTCTTCCTAAGATATAAAGAGCCCTTTAATTTTTGTGAAAGTCAACATGAACATGAGAGAAGAATATAAAAAGAAATTCTAAACATTTTAAATACATGAAGCTACTCATAAATGAAAAGCAGTTTTAGAACCACACTAGATACTGTTTTCACCTATCAGATTGTACAAAATCTCAGTCTGATAAAATCTATTGGTAAGACTTCGGGAGAGTCACTTTTATACATTGCTAGTGTGAATGTAAATCCCTAAGGAGGCCAATTTGGTAATATGTATTAAAATTACAAATGCATATGCCCTTTGACCCAGCTATTCTACTTCTGGAAATGTATCCTGGAGTTATACTAGGCCACATGGAAAATGATATACATGAATATCTATTGCAGCATTGTTAGTAGTAGCAAAAGATTGGAAGCAACCCAAATTTTCCATCAATAGGTGGCTCATTTTTCATTTAGCTTGCTTTTATAGCTTCACAGTGGGAAATAAAAATGAGCCCCTGTCCCCAGTCCTAGAACAGAGCTGGCCTACACCAGCTACTCCATTCCTCCTTCCCCTGGGCCACTCTTCCTGTCCTTCCAAGAAACTGGAGTCCTCCCAATTGGGAGATGATGACCTCAAGCCAGCTTTAGGACATCAGCTTCATATTGGGATGGACAGAAGAACTCTATACACTGCTAATCAGTAAATCAGAACTTCTCTGTGCTGGTATAACATTGAAAAGAGGAGAGAGGGGTAGTGCAGGACCTTCCCTAAATAGAGAATGCATTATTAGTAGTTGTTGTTTTAATCTCACTCATCTTTTAATTAGAGTAAGGAGTGAATAATATCAAAATTTACCATGCCTCTTTTGGTAAAATCATCCCTTTTTCTAAAACTCTACAATCAAGGTAGTGTTTTTGCCCAGACACCAATGTTTATGGGCACTCTGTGCGACCCATAAACACAACAATACTACTTGCCCCCTGTCAGCAATGTAATCTCAGAGTAAATATCTAGAAGATATAAATAGTGTAATGAGTAAGATTGTACAAATTGAAACTATAAAAAGACGGCAAAAGCTCAAGTTAGATATTCTCCATTGCTGCATTTACCCCCACTTTTTAAAAAGAATCACATAATTTTGATAAAAGTTGTTGTTGTCAGCTTGTTTTTCTTGGTCTGTTTGCTTTAATTTTGTTTTGTGGTAAATAAGAATTCTTCAAAAGCCATTTGGAGAAGAGTGGAATCCTGCTGAACAGTAGTCAGCAAGAATTCTGTGGAATGGTTCTGCTTTCAACAGAATTCACTTTTTGTAAAAGGGCTCATTCTAAGTGGGTCAATCTGTATTAGTTGCACCACTTGAAACACTGAAAATACTCTAGTGTACCCAGTGTTTGGGAACCTTTTGGGAACACACTACATTTATACCGTATTAAACTAGGTCAGCTCCTTTACTGGGACAATCCCAGTGGGAGCTATATGTTTCACCTAAAGACAGTAAGAAGAGTTTGGGTATTTTATTGGTTTGTTTATCACATCTGAATCTGATAAAACCAAATCTAGTCCCAGTGAATAAACAGTGACTTGTTTATTTAAGAATACTTATTTAGTGTCATTGTACAAGGTGTTGTGGGAAATATGAATTCTTCTTCCCAGGGAGACTGCACTACAGGCACATGCATGTACAACTAGAATGATCAGGAAGGTGAGGTTTAAATCAGCTGAGCTGCAAGCACTTTGTTTCCAAGAGAAGCATTTGACAGGCAGGAGGAATCTGAGATTATACACTGGAATGAGCACAGGGCACTAAATAGAACTTTTTTAGTTTTCAGTAGTAGCATATGAAGCTTCTTTTCTAGAAAAGATGAGTCTTAATTCACACATAGCTTTTCCTGATTAAAACAATATGTGAATGGAGGCATGATACATACCTATAGTCCTAGCTATTTGGGAGGCTGAGACAGAAGAATTGCAAATTCAAGGCTATCCTGGGAAACACAGTGAGATTTTGTCCCATTAATTAAAAATAAAATAAATGTGAGCACAAACAAGGTGTTATTTCTGGTATTTTTCATCACATTTAGTTTAAAACTGATTTTATAATATTTATATAACTAAAAATTATGTTAGTTGTGAAGGCAATGTCAAAACTATAGTGATTAACTGACAGTCACATGTAATAGGTTGCAGGCAAAGGAAGTTACAGCCTCCTGTCTTTTGTGGCATCTAGTCCCACTCACTCTGTAAATATGATATTGAATTCTGGCTTTGTTTCTAATTGGGCACTTACAACCTAGAAGCACTAAAAGAAGACAAAGTGTCTAAAAATCAGATTATGTAAAGAATATCGATGGGTCATTCACCTCTGAAAAGAGAAGGTTTACAACCAGTGATAGCTACCTTCAAATAATTGTGGTGCATCAGTATTATTTGTTAGTCCAGGGACTGAAAATAAGATGAAAGTTCCAAGGAAGCAGTTTCCAGCTGATTATATAGAATGGCTTGCTAATAATCAGAGCAGCCCTAGAATCAGAGAAGGTGAATGTTTCTTCTGTATCGTGAGCAACCTGCACAGTAGTTAAGCAGCATTTGATCAGATATGCTACAGATGCAATGCCTCTAAAACCTCAAGGTGCACTGAATATCCAGGGGTCCTGTAAAAGGGTGTGGTCACCAAACACAGTTTAGTATTAAGGATATGAAACATTTTCCTTCACTGTATGGAAAGTTTTGAATTGGAGAAATTTTAAATCCTCTTCCATTTTGAAAAGTCCATTATTCTATTATTTATTTAAGTTCTGGTACAGATGCCTGGGGTAATTGAAAGTCACAGTAGCTGAGATAGTGCGGTAAATTTCAGAACCAGGAGCATGCAGAGCACATTTGGAGAATATTAACTTGATTAAAGAAATGTTTCTGGTGGAAGAAGTGTTGTAGAATTAGTCGTAGGGGCAAGTAGAGTTTCCACTGTGAATATCAAGTTAAGAACTTCAGGCAGCATCTTGGGGATAATGGTATAGCTGACGAGATTTAATTTTGTCTCAAGTAATACACTCTCGGACAATAATTTAAACGACCATTTACTTTCCTATGTAAATAAAAAGGTTACAAAATCATGGAGTCCAAGGATAGTATGACAGTTCCATGAAGTCATGAGAACTTAGTCTCCTTCTGTCTTTTGATTCAGTCATCTTCAGAACTGATTTTCACCTTCAAGATAATCTTAGGATTCAAGACAATTGCTGTAGCTCTAGCAATCTAATCACATTCCGTAACTGAAAGAAGAAGAGAATGAAGCAATTACTCTTTTCTTTTGAAGCAAAAAACTCAAAAGACAACTACTGCTTGCATCTCATTAACTAGAGCTTGATCATGCAACCCAATATAAGTACAAGGAAACTTGAGAAAGGTGGTTTTCTCAGCTAACAATATTGTCCATGACTATTTTCCTAAGGAATAATCACTGGTGTAATGGACATTGAGAGTCATTTAGCAATCTCTACCATTAATAGTGAATCAAAGAGTTCTGAGTTGAAAGAGGACACTGACAGAGGACTATTTTTTGAAAGATTAATGTGGAGGTACTACAAAGAATGAAATTGAATGATGACTCTGTAGTCAGATTCGTAGTTTCTAGGTGTAAAGGGATTCTGGGGATGTTGGGCCTGACAAGAGTAGGTGCAGGTTAAATGGAGAGTGAGGGGAATATGGCCATTACAAAGGTATAATTGACAGGACATGGGTAGAAAGGGAGAGAGAGGAACCTAGACTGTCCATGAGATTTACAAGCTTCTTGAAGAAGGTAAGTTTTATTTTAGATATACTAGGTTTTTGTGATGATGGAACATCTAAGGGAGATATGGAAACATCTGAAGATTTCTTGGCTAAGACTGTGGCGCTTTAGCTTTGAGGTCATTCATATACCTGATACTTTCACTTGAAGGTCCATTACTCATCTCATACCTTATATTCCCAACATAGAACTCTCAAGTACTTCCATTCTTCTGTAATTTTTGAGGATCTAGAGAATATAAGTCTATTTTAATATTCAACTGGATAACACACCAATGCATAAGCAGATTCTCTGCTGAAAATGAGTTAGGAAATTCTTCTAAAGCAAAATATAAATTAGTTGATATTATCTACTCTTTAAGACTATTCCTTTCTAAATTTTGAATTACTTCCTATAATCTAGTGTTTTGATCCCTTCAAATTCAATTTAGCCATCTGCTTAAAGGGAATGATTGTCCATAAAAACAAGGCACCCCAATTTATCCGGCTTCCACAGCACTCTTCACATAGATACACTCACTTTCTAGATGCCAATTCTATATACATTTATTAATTGAATCATAGACAAATTTACTTCCCTTTTCTCTGGGCTAAGAATATGATTTTCCCCTAACAATATATTCCTAACACCAGAGGTCAAGGCTTTTATTAACCCATTGTGAACCTGCCTTCAAATGGTTAATGAAAGATCCCTAAAGCACAGATTTGAACTTCATTGTCTTTAATTGCATTGGTTTTCCTCCTCTCCTCCTTTGTTCCTTTAGGCTCCAACCATAGAAAGAAGACAATTGAGCTCCTGGGATATATTAATTACAACATGTTTTGGCCAACCACATCTTGTTTTGCTGTTATGTTCATGTCATCTTTTTATTGTCCTATACCACAATTCATCTCACAGACTTACTCTCTGGAAATTTCTTATTCACATTTAGTAAAGAGAGGACAACTTACCTCAACTGTAGGGGAAATTCCTGCCATGGAAAGTTATGAAGCAAAGGGTTCCCTTTTTATTTAATATTGCTGCCAGGGATACAGAGCATCCCTCAGGCAGTTGGGTAAATGCTAAACACAGAGGTTAAAAGACTCTATCAAGGTCACATAGCTTGTCAAGGGCAGAAATGAAATGAGAATTGTGATTTCATGACTATGCATATTTTGTATTTCTCTTGTAAAAATACTGGGTTTTTTTTTTTTTTTACTGGGGATCAAACTCAGATACTTGTGCTTATGAGGCAGGCAGCGGAAACACTGAGCTAAATCCCTGGCCCTTAAAAATACTATTTTTTAATCTTGCTCCTTAACTAGTTTAATCATATTAAACATTTTTCTATAGCCAGCCATGCATGCTGAAGAGGCAGAAGAAAGTCTTAGCACCAGAACACCAGAATACATACAGATGCTTCTCAACTTACAGTGGGGTTATATTCTGATAAGCCTATCAGACCTTGGCAATACTGTATGTCAAAAATATATTCAATACCCCTAACCTATCGAACATCATAGTTTAGTAACATAGCACACTTTAGAGTATCAGTGCTTATATTCGTGATTAGGAGCTGCGGCTCCCTGCTGCTGGCCAACATCCCAAGAGAGTTTCACAACTCACATTAATAGTCAGGGAAAAGATCCAAATTCAAAATTGGAGTATGGTTTCCACTGAATGTTTGTCACTTTTCCATTGCTGTAAAGTTGAGAAACTGTAAATCAAACCATTGTAAGTTGGGTAACATCTGTATTTTTGCTCTCCAATTGCTAGTTTTTGTATAGCTACCTGGGGCAGCACTTCAGAAAACATATCTGCTGGGACAAGTGCAGTCTGCTAACAACCTCAGCTGCAACATCTTTGGGATCTGTCTCCAAGCAAAAGTGAAGAACACTCGCTCCTAGCTTGTGACTGAGCATGACAGGGGTGCTAAGGCTCAGATATGTGAGACTTGTCCAAATGGCCACGTCTGGAACTCCTGCTAGGAAGCCACAGCTTTCAGAACTACTAAGACAGTGTGAGGCTACCTCTTCCCTTTCCCTGTACTTTGAGTATCAGATCTGCACCATGCATGGCCCAAAGATGCTTCATGCCTACCTTTGCGCTCTCTCACTCTCCCTCCCCCCCCCTTGTATATTTCAGGGGAATTTCCCTTACAATAAGTCTCCTCTACTTCTAATTGCAGCATAGCATCTGCCTCTGGGATGTCTTGAGGTGACATACTAATCCCTAGGACCTTCAGTTTTTAGATAAGTAAAATGAGGACTCAACATTCCTTTCCTGATACAAAACCGGGAAATGATAAATAGTTGTTATATTATTACTAGGAGCAAAATTATCAATATCTCAAGGCTATTATGCTTACAGAAGACAGTGGTGTAAGTGTGTGTGGTCGAGACATCTGTTTGTTAGGGACTATCCAAATGATCACTCATACTTCCACTTTGGGCATGTGACAAATTCAGGCCAAAGCATTATGAGCAGAAGTGATGTGTTTTCAATTTAGCCCTAAGCACAGAAGAATAAATGTCTTTTAAGGTATGTATGGCAAATTCCTAAGGCATGTTATTAGGATGATGGAGTCTTCATCAGACTGTTTTGTGAGCTAATGCAGAACCGAGTCCCCTGCTAACCCACATTGTGAATGTCACATGAGAAGTAGTAAAGCTTTAGTGTATTAAGTCTTGAGATTTAAGGATTAATTTGTCTCCATAGTTTAAACTATCATATCCTTTCCAAAACAATATGTTCATAACAGCATGTAACATCATCAAAGTCTAAGATATTTTTATTTTAATTATTCATGTTTTGGCAGTCTTGATTGTACTTAAAAGAAAATGTACCTCCACTGAATAAAAATGAAGCTATAGCTCAAAGATAAAAGAAAAATAGAAATTTATTTAAAAATAAAAGTCTCAAGCCAAAATAAGAAAAATCAGTTATTTGAGGGGGATCTTATTCAAAAATTCTTACTTGAAAAAATCCAGTGTTGAGTATAAGCTAGAAACAGTCATAGCCTTCCATAACTATATACTTTAATTATAAAATGGAAGTTTTTACATCAGTGTGCTCTAGTGTGAAATAATCAATATTATTCAAATTTCTTCATTTTTGTTGCAATAATACTAGAACAGAATGTTTTCACAGTGTTGCCTCTATCCATCTAAATTTTGTGCATACATTGGTGTGGTTCTCTATGCAGCTGTAGAGCAGACATGCTTGTCCTGACCTTTTCAATAGTTGGTTTGCTGGTTAGCTGGTGATGCCATTCTTCCAGTCCTTAGAACCTGACCAACCTCCAGGAGAGGCTGGCAAATGGCCAGTCAGCCAGAACAGGGAATAGTGAAAAGGTCAAAACAGGAGCTGACAAGGGCCAGACTTCACAGCCTGGATCATATTTGAAATTTCATTGCTGTCAGACAAATGGCAAGAAGCAGAATTTGTCCAAGTACTGCAGATAAGATTTCAGCTAGAAATTCCTTAAAGGAAGCCAACATACTGGATTCAAATGTAGAGAAAGGGATGCCTCTTTGTCTCTTTGGAAGGAGATAGAATCAAAATTTGTAGAACTTGGAGCTTTTAAATGATATATCCTAGTAAAGCATTTTATATCATTGTTACTTTCTAACTACCCTTGGCTACACATAGGTTAACACTAGATCACTTACTTGTGTTTTTCCATGAGTTAAAGAATGAACTGAAGCTATTTTCATGGAAAACCTGGAGCCAGGTGAGTTCAAGGACCCTGAAAGCAGATAACATTAAATAAAGATAGATTCAACCAAAAGAGAGATACAGGCACATATTTTATACAATAAAATGTTAGTAGAATCAAGTAGTTCTAAATCTGTCATTTTTAAGTTACAAATCTATATTTGATCTTGTTTTCTTTTAAAGTAGTTCTATGTAAAACACATAACACCTTGTCTGGATATAGAGCCCACATAATCTTATATCTTAGAAAACAATTGCTCTTGACATCCTCCTTTGTCCTTTCTTCCTTCCTTAATCTCCTTTTGTTACTTTCTTTCTTCCCGCAGGATTTATTACTCTGCATGTTTGTCTATTAATATGTTTCTGTCATAGTCACTATTTTGGTCAACCTATAAAATTGAAAAACACGAGAGATCACTTCGCCATGTTAGAGACAGAATAAAACTAAAATTTTAAATAAACATAAAACCTGATGATTAGTTATCATTTGTACTTTCATTTGGTACTTCTGATTCTTAGCTTCTGAAGACAGAGAACTTGAGCTTAACTCACAAATTTCTTGGTAACTTTCTAGGTGACTGGACTTTCAGATCGCAATTGACCAAAATTGATTGTGTGCTTTCTGGTGTCTGGTGCAGCATTAACCAAGGCACTGTCACATATGCTATTTCATTTCATTGTTATAAAAATTCAAAAAAGTTAAAACCACTGTATGTCCTGGTCTCCTGGGAAAGTATGAGTGCCCTTTCCCTACAACCCTACCCTGTTGCCACCCCTTTCACTGTCAAAAGTGCCATAATTTGGGAAATGGATGGCATATCTTACATAGGGTAGCTGTTACTTTAATATTCTGTTTTCAGGGCTCCCTAATGCTTAGTTTCCTCAATAATAAAAATGGGATGCTTGAATAAATGGCATTAAAATTCCCTTTTAGCTCTAATATCTATGACTCCTTGCCCGTTTGTGGCTTTCTTTTCATGAAAGCTTTCTATCTGCTATAAAAATCACTTAGAACAAGGGTTTCAGCCTCAACAATCTGTCAACACTGAAAATGAGAAAGGGAATCTTCCTTTTTGTTATAAGAAACAAGAATTTCTAGGGCAAAAAGATGGTAGAAAGAATGCCTAGAGAATTTACATGCAAAACTGTTCAGTCGCCAACAGTTTGTGAAAAATATGCAGAGTAGAGACCATATATCAAGGAGCATGTCGTGGTATGGACCTAAAACGCTTTGCTTATATCTGCTTAGTTATAACATAGTAAATTCTAATACATTTTAATTTAGAATCATTCCAAGAATTAAGAATTATGAACTGTTGCAATTTTAGATTCTTCCTCTCATGTGTTTCTTCATAGCTATGCATGCACACAAATGCTTACAAATGCCATATCTGGACATAGTTTTCAACTCACTCAAGGAAGCATGTTATAGGGAAAAAAAGTGGGATTTGGAACAAAGCATTTCAGTATCAATCCTGGCTTTACTAGTTATGAAAATGTGTGCTGCTTAATCTTTCTTTGAGACCCAGTTTCCTCATTCACAAAATAAGAATAACAATGAGAGTTTAGAGGAGAATTGTAAACATTAAAGAAGGTAGTGCTGGCACATTGTGGTTCCTAAACAAGTACCAAGTTATTCCCTCTTCCCAAATTTCTCCCAAATATTTATTGCCACATAAATCTTGTCATTATAAACCTAAATGTCTCATATCTTGATGGCTTCACCAATACCAGTAGACTGGGTTTCACCAGATAATGGAGTTATGGTCAGCAGCCAGTGGTGGCTTGATTTTTCAGCTCTGCCATACATTGAAGGGAGAAGATGTTTTGTCTTTTGTAAGGGTGTCTGTGAGTCTGTTGATCCTCCAAAGCTGAATAGAAATGTTCTCTTTTCAGGAGATGCTTAATAAAAATAGTCTGTTATCAGTTTTCAAGTCCAAAATACTCCCCCCCCACACACACATGAAATTTGCATTCCTTTCAAGCTAAGGGAAACCTAGGGTCAGAGCTCACCTGTGGTATTGGATTCTGTCCTAGATTCCATACTTTAAAATTATCACATGTGTGTAGTATCAGCATTAATGGGCCTGAAATGATTAGAGAGTACAATGTTGAGCACCTGTAGCAGTAAGAATGACTAAATTGTTCTGCATAAATGTCTCTCAGATAGATGGACCTTTTTAGTATGGAAATAACCACTTCTGGCCTAACGTGAGGAAAATACTCTTCCTCTCTGAAAATAAAATACAAATAAAACAGAGGAATCTGAGGGAGAGATAAAGACAGAGATTTTAAAATACAGAAGTACTTAGGTCAAACAAACCATTGCTAGAATAAGAGATAATTGGTAACAGTCACTTCATAACATATATCAGAAGTATTTATCTACAACTATAACTAGCAACACCTTGCTATTTCAAGTAAATATTAGTTGCATCACAGAGATTTAGACCATTTTGTATATTTTATAATCTGTGAATATTGTACACCTAATGCAGAATTCTTTATGTCAAAAACAATAGCATGTCTAATAAAAATCTAAGCAATGGTAATGTCTTGGTCTGAGAATGGCTTTAGCTTCCCCAGAGTTTCCCTTACCTTCCAAATCTATCATACATAAAAATGGTAACTTCCAATATGGACAATGGGAATCACTCACTTTTGATGTGCAAGTAAAAGTGTCTTTAGAAAGCCTCACTACATTAACTGATCTATAGTGTGCAAGGCAGGCAAAAATATTATTTTCTATGCAAATAGAATTTGGAGGAAAGTTCTCTAGTTCCTTTTTCTAACATTGTTCTTTCCACCACTACCCAATGCTCATCCACTGTAGAAAACTCTAAGTCAATCACCGAATCTTCTAGATCATTCCTAGCCTTCCATAGCATTTCCATGGCTTTGCATCAAATTTTAATTGGGGAAATTTGAAATTCTTATGAAAATGTCTAATACTTATTAATAAATATTTACTGAGTACCAAGTAGGTGTCAGATACTGAGCTTGGTATGATTTTCACTGATTTATAGCATTAAAAATTCATTAGAAATTTATAGAAAATTGTATAAGTTTTTACTCTATTGTAGGAATTCAGTCATGCCCCTTAACCTAAATTATTTTACCTTTTTATTCTTCTAAAGTTCAATTTAAATTGAAAAAGTGTTTAAGAGTAGCACGTACTCTTACTCCTGTGTGGATTCTGATTCCAAACTGTAAAACTGTCAAAAATAACACCTGTTCTAAAATATTGCTCTTGGTGAAATTCAAACATAAACAGGGCCAACAAATAAGTGATAAAGAGATTCAAAACAATATTCTGGGATGAATCAGAGAGAGAAGTGCTGATATTTAGCCCAGAGAATCAAATGCTTTTTGGCTACTTTGGAAGGTAGTGAAGGAGTCCAAGGATAGAGCAGGACAGGCAGGGAAGGACAGTTCCAGATATCAAATTCAGGCAGAGATCATAAATCCATATCAACTCTGAGAGACAGTGATCTATTAGAATAAAATGAAAATAAGGACCAAAGCAGGTAACATGTTCACTTGCATAACAGAAAATGGAAAAGTATAAAGTTTAAAGAAGAAAATCTATGGAGCTGAAAAAAGTCTTCTTCTAAGGAAGATCAAAATTACACAGAAATGAGAAGGCTAATGTCCCTAGTGAACAATACAAACATTGGGATTGGAAAGCCCAGCCCAGGGATTGGAATGCTCTGTATAAAGCAAGGTTACTTGAATACTAAGCAAGATATAGACAGTGGTCCAAATAATATAAAATCTGAGCCCATTAATATTTCTGACAATTTAACTAGGAATGTTATGGCATATGTGTCACTAGGAATGACAGGAGCTATTACTGCAATGAGATTAGAATCTTTTTGAAATATCAACAGAACCATTAGAATTGGTAACATTCCCATCTGAAATAGATGACGTAGATGCTACACAATCAACATAGTAGGGAGAGTAGTAGACAGTAGTGGTATTTTGTTCTATATTAATTTTTTTTCTCCTCCAGACATTTGTTTGTTTTGTTGTTTTGGGTGCTGAGAACAGAATTAAGAACTTCATATATGCTAAGCATATACTCTATCAATGAACTACACCCCCTCTTTAGAGTTACTGATTGTTTATCAAATCAATTGGTTTTCTTCAGTGCCAAGTACAGTATTAAATTTTCTATTTTTTGAAGACGAGTGGGGTGCATCTTGCTTTCCTTATTCATTATGACCACCAGAGTATGAACCAATTGGTTAAATAAAAGGGTAAATGAGCCTGTAGGAAATAATGCCTGGGGTAGGGATGTAGCTACTCCTCCTGTCTCATCAACATAATGTTGGCCAGGGATATCTTGTTCCTGGGCTGAGTCACCATAGTGTGAATTTTGTCTTCTAAGTTTTATAAACTCTAAGATGCAAAACATAGCAGGAGGATATTTTAATATTAAATTTTACCTTACTTTCCTATTCTGAAATGATTTGACCAGCATCAAGAACTTGCTAGAGGCTGGGGATACAGTTTAGTGTGTTTGGCATGCACAAGACCATGGGGTTCAATGCTCACCACCAAAATGATAACAGTAATAATAATAATAACAACAGCAACAACTTGCTATAATGCAGTCCTTAAGGTAGACCTGGTAGCAAACAGTTAAACTCCTCACTTTGAAGTTCTTATGTCAATTTGGGTAGATTTAAAGCTAGGAATATATGTTAAAATTCATACCTTTTTATTTCAAGAACTAACCACTTGAAATAGAAAAAAAAATTTTACTTCCTGATTTTAAATGTGGAAGAGCTAAGGCCTAGAAGATTCAAAACACAGTATAGCAAGAACAGATGGGGAATGTAAGCAGAGTCTCTAAGAAAAAAAAGGAAAAGGAAATACTAAAATCAAGGCTGTAACAGAAATGAACACTGATTTGATGAGCTCATCAGAAGACTAGATATGGTCAAGGAAAAAATCAGTGAGATATATCATAGAAACTTCCAAAAATGAAATATAAAGAGAAAAAAGGATGGAACAGAATAACCAGTATATGTGGGACAATTTCAAGAGGTATAATACATGTGTGGTGGGAATATCAGTGGAGTAGAAGGAGAGAAAGGAATAGAAGAAATATTTGAGGTAATACTGAGAATTTTCCAAAATCAGTAACAGATATCAAACCACAAATTTAGAACAATAGAATACCAAGCATGATAAATAAAAAAATACACCTAAGCATATCATGTTTAAACTTCAGGAAAAAGAAAAAAACAAATAGAAAATCTTGAAAGAAATTAGGAGTGAGGGTGGGAGGACACTACCTTATCTATAGAAAAATGAGGATAGAAATTACATTGGATTTCTGTTCACAAACTATGCAAACAAGGAGAAAGTGAATGAAATATTAAACAGTTAAAAGGAAAACAATAACCTACAATTCTGTACCTAGCAAAATTATCCTTCTACTGAAAGGAAATGAAAGATTCTCTCAAGGAAAAATTCAGGGAATTTGTTGCCAGTAGCTCTTCTTTGTATGAAATGTTAAAAGAAGTACTCCAGAGAGAGGGAAAATGACAGAGGTCAGAAACTTAAGACTATAAAGAATTACAACATTAGAGAAGAATAATTAAGATTAAATATTTAATTTTTTGTACTCTTAATTGATCAAACAGATAACAATTTCCTCAAAAAATCACTGCGACAATGCCTTCAGACATTATGGCTCATATATGACCACAGTGTTATAAAATATGGGAGTATTGAGAATACTCTGTTATAAGGTACTTGCACTGCCTATGAAGTAGTATAGTGAAGTAGTATAATGAAGTATATTAAGTAGTGTAATGTTATTTAAAAGCGCACTTGGATTAGTCATCAATGTATATTGCAAAATCTGGGACAACCACTAAAAAAAAAAAATTACCACTAGAGAGATACTACAAGCCAGAGAATTAGGAAGGCTATATGATGACCCTAAAATTCATTAAATGAGAAAAAATTGATCAAAGAAGTGGAAAAGGGGAATTAATAACATTGCTTTTCAGACTCTGATAAGTGTCCAGGTCCTAGCTGTGGGTGGAGAAAACAAGGATAAGAGACACCAGATAGAAACGACAAACAAGCTGGAAGGATTTCAAAACAGAATATACCATTTTCTACATTTTTCTGTACAGTCTGGGAGTCAGTAAGTCTTGTGGAGAAGCTTCCAGTCTAATATGATATTTGAATGGTAGCAATGGCTGAAGGAAATTGACAGATGGATCTCAGAATAGCTTTGAGTTTCTTAAACCACAACATGGGGTGAGATAACAGTTGGATATTAAGAGCTCCCCCAAAGAAACATCAGGGTTTGGATGAAATGGAAAGAATTGTGGGGAATTGTAAACTGAAAGCAACTAAGAAATCATAATCATAAGAGCCAATGTAGTCTCATAGCTTCTGCCACTTTTTTCTGCTGAACAATTTTTCTCCTTTCTTATAACTCCAGCATATGTCCTCACTACTTAATGATATCTTTCTGAGACTCCTTTCTGAATTCATCTCTCACTATTAATATAGCCTAGTGTTATGGTTGGGGTCTTAAAAGTTCCAAGGCCATGTGTCAAAGGCTTGGTTCCCAGCCTGTGGTGCTACTGGAAGGTGGTGGAACTGTAAGAAGGTAGGACTTAGAGTTAGGTCACTGGGAATGTTCCCTTGAATGGGATATTGGGACCCAGCCCTTTCCTCTCTCTTTTTGCTTCCCAGCTGCAATGAGATGAACAAACAGCTAGCTATGTTCTGTTATGTGTTTCCTGCCATGATGTTCTGCCTGTCTGCAGACCCAAAAGCAATGGACCCAGCCAACTATGGACTGAAACCTCTGAATCCATGAATCAAATAAATCTCTTTCTTTTAGGTTGATTATTGCATGTATTTTGTCACAGGTGGAAAGTCTTCTCCACAATTGCTAAGGCTAGTTGCAAAGTTGAGAGGATCTCATCAATCTTACCTATTCCTAAGTAGGATTTAGTAATTTTACAAGCCACTAATTAGACAAGGAATGAACTATCCTCAAATCAACTGTTCACCTGTGGCCAGATTTTGTGAGGCTAGAAGCAGAACA